AAATTTGATGACACTCATAAGACTCCTATGAAATGACCGAGCTGAAAGAAACTTTTCTACGAGTATTTTTAATCAGAAATAGGAAACAAATGTTGATGAGACCTGCATTACATCTGTCCTTGTTATTATGCCATTGCTCTGAGAAGGCAAAGGGCATACAGCCAAAGATGTGAAGGGGAATATTTTCAAGTATCATGAAGATGTATGAGTCAGATGATGAGAAATGAAGGGATTGACTACAGTTTGTGATGTTTGTAACTTCAGCTTAAATTTTGTTGTGATTTCTATTGTCATGCAACACAGAAATTCAGTTTTTCTAGTTGTATTCACTAGTTGTATTTTATAATTTTGGCTACTTTTGCTTAGGTGCCTAAGACTGTAAAATCTCTGGTTTCCATGGTGCCGAGAACGGCACATCATTGACTTCCTTTTGATACAATGTGTGTGGAAAGGAGCCTTATGTATGCAGCCTATGTTAAGTTCTCTTTGTGTTATAATTCAAGTAGGAGCATTTATCTCAGTTCACAGCTTCAGAGGGCTCAGTCTTTTAGCAGCTGGCCCCGTGCTTAGGCAGTGGGAGTTATGTGGTAGAAGACAGCTATTCACATCAAGGTAGACAGGAAGCAGTGAGGACGGCAGGAAGGAGTCATGGATAATAGACTCAAGTGACCTAAGTCTCAAAATAAGCAGATCCCTCCTCTTGAAGTTTCCAGAGCCTTCCAAAATAGTGCCACCAGCTAGGGAGCAACAACTCAATGCACGAGTTTCTTCAGAAGAGGCTTCATACCGGAAGCCCTGCACAGCCCATGGAAGCCCCTCACTGCCGATGGGAATGGAAAGATTCAGGAGACCCGAGGTGAAACCAGGGACCACTGGCGAGACAGATGAAAGAAGTAGCCCTGCCTTGTTAAAGACAGCAGGCAATAAATTGAGGCAAGGACAAGAGACACTGAGGAGACAGGTGGGTAGAGGGAAGCCAGGTGTCGGCAATTAAGAAAAGCAAGCAGGAGGATGACGTGGTGGGAAGTGAAGAGAGTAAGAACGCAGCAAGAATGAGGCCTGGGAAGGGACCAAGAGGCCTATTTGAGGGGCCTGATCTGTTTCTCAGCCAGCAGCCTCCCTCAAAACAAGCGAATGTGGTTCCTGATAGAAGCTGACACATGCTCTCTGCAGAGCTGATGCAGGCCAAGCAGAGCCCATCATGCTGGGAGCAAACTAGGAACAGGTTCTGGTGGGGGGTCTGCGTCAAAAGGATGTCTCTCTCCCTTAGGGTCCAAGGCTTCATCCCCCCCTAAATGAGCAAGACAACCCGGCTCAGAAGCCTCTGTCCTCTGTGCAGACTCTCTATCAGATGAACAGGAAGTGAGAGGAAGCCAGGGCCTTCGAGCAGAAGGTTCCTGAACTGACAAGACCTGTCTCTTTGAATTTCCACCTGGACGTTGCCTTGTTCTTCCTTTCTGGAGATAGCAGCCTCACACATCAGGAATCAGTCAGTCCCACTGTGTCTTCTAGCCTGCCTCTGCAAGGATTCATCCCTGTTGGCACTGCCCTTCACTGCCCTGATGGACAAGAAAAGGAAAGCAGAGGATGGGGGGGGCAGGAGGTCAACCAGCTGGGCAAACAGGGCTGCCCGCTGAGGCTGACTGCCTTCAGAATGCATGCGGGCTCTGCATAAAGGGCGGGGTCTTCTCTCTGGCGCCCTCTGCTGTAGCTGGGAGATTTAGATATTAGAGTGGGTGGGTACAAGAGTGGAAATTGCAGGCGAGGGCCATATGGGTCGCAGATGGCCAGGTGCATGTTGAAAAGATGAGTCAAATGGGAAGGAGGAAGGTAAGACTGAGTCATCAGCAATGAGACACACCTTTCATACGCCCCATGCTATAGGGAACCTAGAACTGTGCGTGTCAGAACAGAAGCAGATGCTCACCCAGTCCCACCCCTTGACTTGTTGGATGGGCAACACGTCTTGGAAAACACACTGTTGGTAAAGTTGAGGAACCACTGACACAGGCAATGCAGGACAGCAGTTGACTGGGGAGTGGCTGGGGGGTTGTCACCACATCCTCTTGCTTTATACAATCAAGTGTTTAGATGGGACTTAAAGAAAGTATTGGAGGGTAAGAATGGACTAAGTCAGAGAAGACAACGGAGAAAGGGCATCACGGTTCTCTAGGAAAGATGTTGTACTGGAATGGAGGGGGCTAGGACAGAGCCCTAAAAGGCTGAAAAAGCAGGTGGTGGGCATGAAGACCACAGGCTACAGAGTCAACCTAGAACTTCAGTTTTCCCTGAAGTTTTCAGGGCAGTTGAAATGCATATTATTGGAACTTGCTGTCAACCTGGAGGAACACTCTCCAGAGATGAAAGAGTAAAGAAGCCCGTCTTTGTATTCCAGGCACATTAAATGAAAGGAACTCACATAGAGTCAGATCCTAGTCAGATTTTTGAATTGTGAGAATCAATTTTAAAATCTCACATGCACCAAAGCAGTAGAAACAAAGGACTCGAAAAGGAATGTCCATCAAGCCAGCTCCAGAGGCTGGTCCTCCAAAACCCTGGAAGAACATGGATTCATTGCCATAGCCACGATGTTTTGAAAAAGAAGATGATGACCTGAGAATGGCAAATCCAGCCAAGTCATCATTCCAATGTGAAAGCAGTCCAGAAATGCATCTGCTAAGGACATAGAGCACTCACATACCCCGTGTCTTAGATCAGGTTCTCTGAAAGCAGCCCCAAGATGAAGGTCTGGGAACTTAACAGAGAATGGGCTCCAGAGCGATGGGGGAGGGCAATGGAGGACAAGAGAATTGAGTAGAAGGAAAACCTGGGTACAGTAAGCACCAGGGGGTCCTCAACCACCCACCAGTACAGGGAGCTCAGGAACTGGGGGAATCCTCAAGGGTGATCCTGGATAGACACAGGGTGAACCTTAGTCTTGCTGTGCCTGTCCCTGAGAGAAGGCTATCCCAAAGCAAGGATATGATCTTGCCCTGGGAAGCTCCCTTATACTTCCCACAATTCTAAGAGGGTCTGATTTGTGACCATCACTAGATAGAGCTGTGAGCACCAGAACCAAAGGGATGCGACAGTATCTTTAACTAAGTGTGTATTCTGGCCAGCTAGTGAATGAATATGCTAATATAAAAATGCTACGGCTTTCTTATTCTTTCTTTTAAAAAGATTGGCTCATTATTTTATAAACAGAAGTGTTTTGTCTGTGTGTGTGTGTGTATGTGTGTGTGTGTGTGTGTGTACTACATACATTTAGTGCCCAAGGAGGCCAGAAGAAGGCACCGTATGGCCGGGGAACTAAAGTTGAAAATGGTTGTGTTGGGAACCAAACCAGAATCCTCTACAAGAGCAACAGATGCTCTTAACTGCTGAGCCATTTCTCCAGCCCCTCTCAAATCTTTCTTAACCCCAGATTTTGCCAGTCTACAGATTTGAAAGACATTGTAGAGCAAATTTGACCCTTTGGTTTCAACATTTAATTCTCAGTTCCAGAAACATCTCCCACAGGCCAGTGGCATCTCACACAGCCATTTAAATCAGATCTCTCTCTCTCTCTCTCTCTCTCTCTCTCTCTCTCTCTCTCTCTCTCTCTCTCTCTCTCTCTCTTCCTCTCCCTCTCTCCCACTCTCTCATTTTGTAACCAATGGCTAATGCATTTATAAGGTTATAAGCCAGACTTCCATTTATCTCACAGAAACACAAAGTGTGACAAAATCATAGCCGATATTTTGAGACAGGAACTTAGCAAATTTTACCTTTGTGCTCATATAAGAAATGTTTCCTATGATTTAAGACAGGAAGAAGTTGATCTGAAGAGTGCAGGCATCTCATGGATGGGGGTGTGACTCAGTCAGTGTTAAGTGGGCATCTTAGTGATGGAGACAAGACTTGATCATTGATTCTTCTCATGGCTTCTAGAAAGAGGAATACCCTGGAGACCCCCTCTTGTTTCACACTTAGAATCTCCATGCCATTAATTCTCCTTGAAGTGACACTTTCCTCTCATTGCCTACCCACTGGCCACACTGTCTGCAAGAGAGCTACATCTGTGGTCAGCTGTTGTCATGTTTCTATGCTACTCTACTTAGCACCCAGGCTCCAGGAGTAGTTACAGATATAATTATTGTTGGCTAAGGGATTCCTTGTACAGAAGTGATCTGGAATGTAGTGATCTGGGACATGGTTACCTGGGATTCTAAGAGGCATATGTGCCTTTACCACAAAGGAAGGGGCTACATTCTGGGGCAAGGGTTGGTGGTCAGTATAATCATGCATATGCCCAGGAGGGATCTAGAAAATGAAGGATATCCAATTCTGGCTACATCCATTCATCTTCAGGGTTTGCTGAAACACCAGGGAACCCTCTCTGCTTTCCTCTGGAGCAAGGCCTATTTTGTATCTGATAATCAGGCATTAACCAGTCAGACTGGCCTGCACGGAACTGGAAATGTGTCTAGATGGTGTGATATGACAGCTAGTCTCCGGACTGCAGGAGGAGCTGAGAAACATGATTGGCAGTGATGAGTGAGACTTGACCTTTACAACCAACTCTTCATGAAAATTTCCCAGAGAGTCCTGGAAAGCTGCTACCAACTGACTGTGTTAGCATTTCAATATGCACCTCTTGATACTCTATAATGAATATAAAATTGAGCCTCCACTCCTCTCTTTAACACCCCTTACCTGGCTCAACTGCTCTGAGTGTGCCCACACTTCCTGTACCCCCACACTTCCTGTGCCCCCATGTGCACTGTATTCTACCTAGTGTTTCTTCACTGCATTTATGATTATCTAAAACGCTACACAATGTGGGTTCATCATCTGTCCTCGGACTGCAAGCTCTGTCAGACAGGAATTTTCTCTTTTATCCCCTGCATAGAGGAGGAGGAGAAAAGAAAAGAGAGAGGAAAGCAGAAGAGAAAAGAAAGGAAAGGAGAGAAAAGAGGGAGGGAGAGGAGAAGAAACAAGCCATCAAAGACAAGGGATGCATTTAAAAAAATCTTTACACTGATTTTATTTTAAATCTGTACTTGCATAAAAGGTGGTTAGGTGTATTGTATCCAAGCATCCTTATCGCATGAACTTCAGATGAGCCCAGAGAGGACCTCTGTCCCTACCATCAGGCCCAGTGGCCACAGAAATTAGTCCTGTAACTCAGCCTTGTAGTGGCCCTAGTCGCAAGTGTCTCCAAGAGGTTGTTTTAGGGGGACAGTAGGAAGTGGGTAGTGATCAGGTATAGTGGGTGCTAGCATGGATGGGGCCCTGACTGCACTTCTTCCACCTAAAATGATGGTGGAGTGCAAGAAGGGGCCCCAGGGAATCTAGGGTTGAGAAACCCCCGTGGGGTACCAACTCCCCGAAAGGACACAACTCAAAAGAGGACCTAAAAGAAACGGAAACTTGGAGTTTCTGAGAAGCAGTACCGCTCCCTTCCCTCCCGCATGCTTTCACTTTTATTTTCCCTTCTGTAGCTCTCTCTTGGAGACACCTGCAAGTCAGTTCCCAGCAGAAGAGGAGCCATTGTGCTACAGGAACACGTGGTGTGCGCATGCGTCACATGCCTCTTCCGCTGCCAACTGAGGAAGGTTCACACGTTGGTGTGCTGGGACCCTGAGGATGCTATGCTGCCTGGCTGACTGCGGCCAGAGGGTGCATAGCTGGCTGCACGGCTCCTCCTGCTCCGATCCCCACCACCCTGGCTCCTCCGGGTGGGCTCATCCGCCAGTTTGACCTTCTCATGCTCCTCCTTCAGGAAGAAATCCACCAACAAGCTCTTCTCTTTCTTGATCTGGTCGCTGATGTCCGTGGGGATATCAGGAATCATCCAGTCCACGAGGACACTCAGGAACATCACTAGGTTCTGCCCAAATAAGGGATATGAAGAGTGAGGCTTGGCTTGGTGCTGTGATACATGAGGTCACAGGTGGACAATAGCTCATCACCGTCCACCCTGTCCCCTTCATAGTGACCATCCTGGTGCCCATACTTGGTGAGAAGGGAAGAAACTAAACAGAATGCTAGGCAACTCACTGGCTGAGTGATCTTTACCAGTAAGCCTAAGTGTCCTTTGATGTCCTTGCTGATAATGGTGTCCCATTAGTAAAATTACTACAACTTCAACCTATCCCCAAAGCAGCTGCAGTTAATACATGTCAAATACTGGCAATGGCAAGACATGGTAAGTGGCAGCTAGCTAGAGGGCCTTCCTTTCAGGAGGACCTAGTTACACCATACACAGAGTATCTTCACATATCATTTGTCCTAACACTTCCTGACTTGCTCTAGATTGGGGTCTACAAGGAAGTGACTAAAAAGCTCTCGACTGGGGCCTCCAGAGAAGTGACCACAGAGCACAGTGGCCTCTGTAGGGCTGCCACTGTGGCAGTTGCCCCATTCATCTTCCCAGCTGTCCCTCTGTCCTCAGTATTGGGGACCTTAGGTGTATTCACTGATATGGCTCTAGCCCAGCCCACCTACGTCTCATGGTCTCCTCATTCTGGCACTAACAGGGACTCTGCTTGCAGCTCTCCTTGGTTGATGCCAAGCTTTTACATACACTTGCATGAGGTTCCCTGCTGAGCGGCATCTCCTGGGATATACAGGTGGGCTAGGAAAGCCCTTCCTGGGAGCATCTTCTCTCTGAGGGAATGAGTATCAGGCTATGGTGCCTGGCATGGAACAATACAAGCCAGCATGTTCTGATTGCTGCTCGTTTCTCAAGTCTACCCTCCCCTCCCCACACATTCACCTAACACATTACTCAGCTTGTGATCATTTTCTGTCTGCAAACTACACACTTGTGTGTTTCCTTTTGGGAAACCATGACAGAAACAGCCCTCGAACTCTACGTCATGGTCCTGGGAGCTCAAGGAAAGACTTTGGGAGCAACTGCTTCCAGAGAATCCCAGTTATGTAGACTCTTCCTCTACCCACTGCCAACGATGTGAGAGGCCTGTGACATGTGACATATGGGCAAGTGAGGAGATGGAGTAGGGGGGCAGCAGGGGGTTGTCTAGGCAAGTTTTCAAACATATCAGCCCATCTCTACAGGGGAAGAATAGCGTCTTCTTTGGGTGAAAGACTAGCTGGTGGGCTTCTCTACATCCTGGGCTGGAGTCTGAGGGGCAGGACACCCTAGAGCCCCCCAGAGACCTGCCTTCAGGGAATACAAAAGCCAAGGGAGCTGAAGAGAAAAGGGTTGGCTTTGTGCTCTGGCCCCTGCTTAAAGACCAACAGGACCCTGAGTGGGAACTAGGGGCCCTGGAGCCCAGAGAAGCTCAGGGACAACGCAATTGGAGCTGTGGCTATTGTCAAAGATAGGTATCATGAGCTCGAGTTTGCTATTCATTCCGGGGGTGGCTAGATGACTCCTGCCAGCCCCTCCAACCAGATGTCTCCATGGTAAACAATGCTAACAAAGGAGAGACCCAAGAGCTCAGGAAGAAAGTTTCCGAACTTGAGACCTTTCTCAGGCTGACAGAAGGGATGTGCTGTTTGTCTGTCCCGGGGCTGAGACTCTTGTTTCAATAGCTCCTCATTTTCTTTTCTTCTCCAGTTTAAGTGGGCAAGTATCTCCACTCTGCAACTTACTCTACATCTGCCCGATAATTCCTCTCTGGGTTTTATTTATCTTTTGGCCAAGTCCGCCCATTCAAAGAAGCTCTCTCTGGGGACTCCTCCTGCTTTACGTTAACTGCTGCCTGCCATGTATGAAGTTCCCCATGTTGCAGCGCGCAAGTGGGCCCTGTATCCATTGCCCTCCATGCTCAGACTCAACCAACCATGGATCAAAAATAACAGAAAACAAAATCACACCGATGGGAACATGTGCAGGCTTGCGCTCCTAGTGTTTCTTAGACAAGACAGTTCAACACCTGCTCATGTTGAGTTTGCATTGCATTAGTTACCATGTCATCTAGCCATGAGCTAACGTATATGAGAGGATATTGGTGGGTTACATGCAAATGTGATGTCATTTGTTACAAAGGACTTTAAAACCCTGTCCCTCCCCCATATAAAGAGATGACTGTCCCATAAGCACCTGGCTATGAAGGGCAGACAGGGCATTATCACAGTCTTTCCTTGGGTATCCTGCATCCTGTCTAATTGTAACCTGAACAACTCACCTGGAAGATGATCACAAAGGCCAAACGGGCAGACAGGACAGACCAGTACTGCTTGGAAAACTCATATGGGTTTGGTGCCCATGGTGGCTCTCGATAATCCTTGAACCTGCCCAAAGAAAGATGGAATGCTCAGAATGGGTGGGGTCTGAGAGGCTGGTGAGACAGCTTAGCTGGTAAAGAGCCTGTTGTACAAGCATGTACTCCTGCATTTGGTCCAATAAAGGTGGGGGTGGTGGCATGTGATTGTCATCTCAGTACTGAGGAGGGAGAGACAGTCAGATTGCTGGGACTTGTCAACCAGCCTAGCCTACTTGGTGAGTCCCAGGCCCCAATGAAAGACTCCATCTCTGAAGATGGGTGGCTCCTGAGAACCAGCCTGAGGTTGATCTCTGCCATCTGTATCATGTATATAATGTGCAGACACATATACACATGCACACACACACACACACATACACTATACACACAGCTGCAAACCACATGAACATAAATCCACTAAATAAATAGTTAAAATGAAAATATACATAAAGAGTATACACTGAAGGCAAGGGAGATATGCCTATGAATGAAATCTCAAGATTTGAACAACAGATTAGCTCTTCGCTGTTGAATCTAGAAAATAGGAGACAAAGAGGAAATCTGTAGCCCAACTAACAATTTCCTTGGGATATAAGAGTCCAAGTCCACAAAAGTCAGCCTGGGGTCGCATTTTCTCTCTCCCAATCACCTCCCAAAGCTTCCTTTGATATCAGGATGTAGTTCCTAGAGGGGCCACAGATGAGCGTGACCTAGGTCAGTGTGGCAATCATATCTTCCAATTATTCTGATAGGGGCTTCCCGATGCCCCATTCTGTGCTGTGACCAGTCTCCAGATCCCATGTAGATCCCAGCAGGTCACCCTGGGGTTCTTAGCCAGAAGTTTTGGAGGTAATCTTGTTTCCCAGCTGTACCACTGAGCCAAAAGAAAGCTGACCCAAGTCCAAGGAGGAGGTTGGGTGAATTGGGGCAAGGATTATAAATAACGAAGCTTGGTCAACAGTCTTTCTCATCAATATTTCCATGATCTATCCATGTGCTTTATCAAACATCAATGTCTAACATGAGCTTCTGCCTCCTCAGACCCACAGAGAAACCCCATGCTTTATTTCCTGTCTCTGCCTCTTCATCCCTATTTTGCAGTGAAGCATGCTACAGATATCTCATTTTCTAACCCCGGAAAAATGACAATTTTGGTGTCAGCACTATGATATTCACACATCCATTTCATCCATGGAATTCAACAAGTCTTTTAAATGAAAGTACAGGAGCCCCTAGGGTAGCAGAAGAATTGGGATGGCGCCAGGCCATCCAGTAGTGTCTGTGACTTCTGAGGAAGCAAAGTAGAGACCCTACCCAGGAAGAGACATCATACACAGGACACATCGCCTGCCTCCAGTCCTGTGCAAGAGAAAGCATGTTCCTGCATGTTTTGTATTGTAATTCTCCCAGCATACTCATGCAGGTATCCCACATAGCATGGCAGGAACCTGGAGGGCTCAGAATTCAAGTATGTGGTCAGAGATTCACGGCCAGGCAGAGATAGAGGCAAGGTGAGGCTGTAAACATGGCTGGATCCAGGCTCACCCCTATTGTCACAGAGCACTTCATCAGCAGGTGAAGTTGGAGGTGGCTTCATAAGCAGAAGTTCTCTGGTTCCTTCGCTGGGCATGAAGGAACCAGCGCTGTAAGAGTTCCACGGTAAAGCACAATGGCTTCCAGTTCCCAAGGAGAGGCTAGAACATTTGAGTCAGAGGGAAAGTAATGTATGCACAAAGAAAAGGCCAGAGCAACGGAGGTGGCAACAGAAAGAGACGAGCTGCATGGCAGACACTGGTCTTCCCACTAGGCCTTGGCCAGAGACCAGGAGCTTCCACCTCACTGCCCGGCTCCCCCGCTGCCAACAGCTGATCGCAGCTGTTGCGAGCTTGAGTTGACATCTGGCTGAAAAGCAAAGCTAACTGCAGCCCAGCAGAACAAGGTATTCGGATCATCCCCGGCTGAGGACAGGAACATGGAAAGCTACACAGAATGCTTGCTAGCTTGCTAGTAGGGAAAGCGAGAGAGACAACACGAGCTGGGAGGGGAAAAGGGAGAGGGAGGGAGAGGGAGGGAGAGGGAAAGAGACAAAGAGAGGAGTGGGGGTTGAAATCATGTAAGCCAAGTGAATAAGATGTTTTGGAAATGGAGAAAAACCTTTCTAGACTTGCCTAGTCTTCTGCTGTATGCAAATCAGGATCTACTCATTTCCAATCTTCTAGAGGAGGGGTACCACCCCTGCCAGGGCCTGCCATGGGGCTATCCCTCCCCAGGCATAACCCAGTTCCCCCTGGCTGCAATGAAAGTCCATTTCTTCCATTTCCTAGCTCCGGCTGTGAAGGAACAGCTGCTCACTGAACTTGGTATGAGAGCCACTGCATGCTCCTCCCCTTCCAGTCTGAAAAGAATCCATAAATAATCGAATTGGGCTTCCAACTCTGCTACTAACTTAGCACAGCTTTTTGGACTGTCGCTTTGCCCTCCCCTGGTGTCCAAAGCATGTTTTGAATCTAATAGACACATTCATGTGATGGAGGACTTGGGGTGGTGGGGATGGCCTGCACAGAGATCTGTCCAGAAAGATTGCCCTGAAGACAGCGCGATGCCGAGTGAAGGGGGGCTTTGCTGTATGGTACCGAAGCCACACCACAGAAAGCAGTGATGAGGACCTTCACACGCGCTGAATGTGTTCACATTCCTCTTTCTAAAGTAGCTTCCTGACCTATAGCAAAAACAAATCTCATTTTACATTAATGAGTGGACATACAATATCGAAATGAATGTGACACAAAATGTAAACTTTATTGTATGCAATGAATTGATAGCTTGCTTTAGCTCACCCTAGCTCATCCTCTTCTGTTCCTCCATCCATTCCATTCTACTCTGTCCCATTCCTCCAAAGGCTGTTTGTGACCCATTGAAGTGATTTCACAATCACTAATGAACCGTGATTCATCATTTGAAGAGCACAGATTCCAGTAGGCTTGTGCCACTGGATACATAACTGGTTGTTTACATGCCAATGTCAGTTCGGGTTACATAATTTTCTTTTTTGAAATGTGATCCTAAGCAGTCAGGCTTATCAAATGTTTTCTCTAAGTAACTAGAAGACACTTGCTAAACAAAGAGACAATAAGCTTAAAGAATACAAGTATCTTCAAAAGGCAGGTGGCTAATGGACCTCATTGTTCTCGCTGCTTGGGGAGCGATCTGCGGTGCCTGTTTCGTTTTTTAAAATCCAGTGCTCAGCACTGAGGGAAGTGTGTGTTTTCAAGACAAGTGAAGGTTTGAAGGCCACTTCCAGTACCAAAGTCCTCCTTGACTGTTGTTCTCCAAGGGCCCAGGTGTTGAAGCCTTGGTCCCTTGTGTTGCTCTGTTGGAAGGTGATGGAAGCTCAAAGAGGTGGGGACCGCCGGGCAGTGGTGGTGCACACCTTTAATCCCAGCACTCGGGAGGCAGAAGCAGGTGGATCTCTGTGAGTTCGAGGCCAGGCTGGACCAACAGCCTCCAAAACAATACAGAGAAACCTTGTCTCACAAAACCAAAAGAAAAAAAAAAGAGGTGGGGACCAGTTGGAAGTCTTTTGGTCAACTGGGGTGTGAAAGAGGTTGTGAGACCCTTTTCCTTCTCTTCTTCTCCCTTGTGGTCTCTGCCACACGCTCCTTCCTTCCATGGTGTTTCCTTGCTGCAGGCCCAAAGCTAAACTTTTGAAAAAAAATCAAGTGCCAAACAAACTTTTTATCTTTATAAATTGCTCATCTTGGATATTTTTTTTACAGTGACAGAAAGATGACTAACACAGTCTTCATGCAAGTTACTCCATGTCCTGACACCGGTGTTCTCGTCCACATTAGCCTAAGCCTTCATTCCCCATGTTGTTATGCATCAGCTTCAAGAAGTCAGTAACTGCCTGGTCCATCACAGGAAACCACCCAATGTAGGCTGAGTGTCCCTTAGTGAAATGTCGGGTACTAGAAGGACTGCAGATTTCAGAATAGCTTCCTATTTTGGAATGCTTGCTTACATTTAAGGCATCTGGGGACTGGGACTGGAGCAACACCATGAAATTCATTGATGATTTAAACCCTCCTTTCACACATAGGCTGAAGGTAGTTTTACATGCTACATTTGAATCATGGCACTCATGTAGCAAAGTTCAGTTTTCCATGTGTGATCTAATGTTAATACAAATCATCTCAAACTTCTGTGAACTTCATATTTTGGATTTGTGGATTTGGAATGCTGTAGTAACTATTATTTGTCATTTTGCTGAAGGTGACTTATGACTTAAGACAGTGCATACAGACAACTTTTTCCAATCCTCCTGGCTTCTGGAGAAGGTTTCTAAACACTCAAGTTCCAGACCGGTGTTGTCTATGACCATCAGAGGAGGCGGCCTCCTCTAGGATTCCATCTGGGTAAATGGCACAAGCTAGGAGAGACTCTGGCTAATGGAGGAGGCCCTGAGACCTGGGAAGTATAGCTTTTGTTTATCATCTCTCATGAGCTCCAACAACAGACAATCTCCCCTGAGCAGTCTCAGTTTTCCAACATTACCATGAGTGGCCACAACACGCAGTGAGACAGTCCATTGTGGTAGGAAGGATGACTGTAGGAACTTGTTCACGAAGTAAGGCAAGGCTGTCAACCTCAGAACTAACTTGTTTCCACCAGAGAATGCCCCACCTCTCAGGAGTTTCAGAACCTTCCAGAACAGCACCAGCAGCCAGGTACCAAGCATTCAAGCAAATCCGTGGGAGCACATCCCACATCTGAACCACATCAAATGCACAGATAGAGAGGAAAGAGAGACCCCCGCCCAGCGGTACCATCCTCATTCCATCTTCATCTAGAGGGTAGTCAGTGGCTGTGAGATCTGCCACAACCATGAAAACAAAATTGCTAAGGGGGGGGGCAGACAAAGCAATACTGAGGGGGCTGGTCACCCACCGTCAAGAAAAACTTGTTCTTAGATGAAGTGTTAGCTCCATAATGAATCAATTAGTGAATGCCTTTCTTGACTCCAAAGAG